TGCATATATATAAAAGGACCTGTGCAGGTGGTGATGTTCAAACTGAGGAAACTGATTCCCTGCTCCTCAATTAAATCCTTCACTCCTGAAACCATGTGCTACTACGGCAACTACTATGGAGGCCTGGGGTATGGCTATAACGGCCTGGGCTGTAGCTATGGTGGCTATGGCTGTGGCTGTGGCTATGGTGGCTTAGGCTGTGGTTACGGCTGGGGCTGTGGCGTATATGGGTATGGTGGCAGCCGCCCATCTTTCTGTAGAAGATACTGCTCGTATGGGTTCTACTGAGAAACTTCCAAAGAAACTCAACCAACTGGTCCACCTTGGCTTCCTGAATCTGCCTCCATGAGTCTTCACATGAATAATTCAATTTGCTACTCTAAAAAGTCAACATCATCATAAAGTAGCTAAAGACAAAAAACAAAAATAGGTCAGATTCAATAAGAGTCATATACAGTCACTGAAACCATCTGGAATGTTTCACAATTTTTCCTATAATAATTTTCCTTTTAATATCTTATCTTATTGACTTTAAAATTCTTACACTTTTTTATCAATAACTTTTATGTGTGAGAAAAGTTTAAATTAATTTTAATAAAGATCTCATTGAAAATATTGACTGAGTTCATCGTGAGTGTGTGTGTGTGTGTGTGTACCTTGGTATGTTGGCAAATGGGATGGTATGATGGTTAATTTTATCTGTCAGCTCTTGACTGGGCTAAGGGATTACCAGATAGCTTGTAAAACATTATTTCTGGGTGTGTCCGTGAGGATGTTTCTGGAAAAGATTTGCATTTGAAACAGCAGACTGAGTACAGAATATGCCCTCGCCAATGTTGGTGGCATTATCTAATCCATTGAGGGCCTGAACAGAACAGAAATTTAGAGAAAGGGCAGTTTTGTTCCCTTTGCTCGATCTGGGATATCCATCGTCTCCTTCCCTTGGACATCAGCTCTCCTGGTTCTCAGGCCTTCAAACTACAACTGAGTTACACACTTGTTTTTCCTGGTTCCCCGTCTTGCAGATGGCAGATCATGAGACTTTTCAGCCTTCACAATCAATCATGTGCACCAATTACCATAACATATATATATATATTCTTTTTCTCTGGAGAACTCTGTCTGAATAATACAGGTGAGACAGAAGAATACATGAGACAAAGAGAGAACACCTCATCTTGAGATGACAATCATGCCGAAAAGACAGGAGTATGATATCAATTCCTATACAATGTATGCTTCCTTGTCATTCTTTAGTCACCGTTCTCTCTGTCTGATCAGCCTAGAGTCTTTGCATCATGCTCTACAGGTCTAAATGCTTTTTGAATCAATGGTTCTTTTCCCCATCACAACTATCAATAATTTGTTTGTTTAGGTCTGGTGGAGTGGTGTTAGTAAACCACTCTCTGGAGGGAAAAAGGTCCTGATTTGTGGTATCTCCATATGTCCATAGTGTAAACACTCCCACTGTTTCTGTTGTAAAGCTACCAATGCAATGTCATGAAATGCAGCGATAAACAGAATAGGCTCTCTGAGCTGGTACACCAGTTAGTGTTTATCAGTACCACGCATCATTTCGATACCTGAAAATCTATCTTAATTATTTGAAGAAATGTACAATAAGTCTAACACCAAATATATATTGACCCAATGAAGAAAAACTAATAATTTATTCTCCAGTTTCAAAAGAGAGCAAATTTATTCTTATTTTATTTCATAATACTGGAAGTTTCTCTAATGTCCTTTTTCTACTTCTGGCACCCTGCTCTGGGTGAGAAAGTCAGTGTCAAGAGAAGGTACAGGAAAAATAATAAATGTCACATAATACAATGTCTTAAAAATGGCTGGCACATGGCTGTTAATAAATAAATAACAATTGAATGGCTGAAAGAGTATGAACACCTATCTGAATTTCTCTCTGAGGCTTTATATCATCTAAATTAGAAGCATAAGGGAAAGCAGAGTTCATCGTATCTATATCAATGTTTGAAGATTACAAAGTGTATAATAAGCGGTGTTTGTGGAGTCAGAGAAAAGTTGGGTTCAGCAACCATAAAATCAGAGAGAATGCTCCTTTCCCACTATGAACTCTAATAGATACATTTAGAGTGAAGATATATAATTAATATTAATCTGTTTCAAAATTCATTTACCTGCACTCTTAAATAAATCCAATTTGTTTTATTTAAGGTGTACTTTAATAAAGTTCATTAAAATTTAAAACTTAAAAAAAAAAAGAAAGGAAAGAAAAACAAAGCCTGGATCATATTCTGTGCTGTGTGCTAGTTGAGTCTTTCAATGATCAGGGATTTCTGCCTCCACCGATACTTCACCTATCAGCTGAAAGCTGAGGGAATGAAGAACGACTACATGACTTTTTCATCTCTCTGATACTGTTCATCCTCTTTTTAAGAGACACGTCACTATTGCAAGTCTAGATCTGTAAGAGCAAAAATGAGCCCTGGTAAAAAAGACGTAAAAGAGTTGAGGATGGAGTACCAAACACAATCTTGGTATATTTTACAGCTACTTCTACCTACAGCCCCTTCAAACGTGATGATAAAAGGAAGCACAGACACTTTCTACCCATAAAATGATTATACACTGTCTGGAAAGATCAAAGTAACACCTACTAAAGGAAAGGTTCATACATAAATGCCAAACATGTTTACATATGATAGTAATGTGACACATATTGCCGGTATCATTACCAATAACTAGTCACACTGAGTTAGAAGGAAAGGTTTTATAAGAGCACGTGAATATATATTATATCCATCCTTCATGACCGAGACTCAGGAGACCTGTCCTTTCAGACAAGACTCATTTTAAAACACTTCTATGTGTCAACTATAAGTGAATATATATATGTCATGGGATGTGGAGTATAGTGTGGAAATGGAGGCAAGGGAATTGTAATAGATATGTATGATATTGGGGGGAAGTGGGGCGGCGGATTGGAGGAGGGGGGTTGTCACTTCGAGGGGTAAAAAGTATAACTATTGCACTGTGTTGTACAGCTGAAATTAATTCTAAAAAATGTGTATTTCATAATAAAAAATAATTAAAAGAAAAAAATTTAAAAATACATAAATAAATAAAAATACATAAATAAATAAAATACACATATGATGATGGAAAATAGGCAAGTTAATGTACTGGGTAGTATATAAGACTGGGTGTCACGTCACAATACATGAAATACTAGCCAGCTCCAACATTAACTAAAGATGTGTCCTTTGACAAGTCACAGAATAAAGCTTTGTTTTGTTTCATTTACCCATAAAACATTAAAAAAAAAGGACTAGATTTTTCTCTAAGGAGCTTTTAACGTTAAAGAGTTAATAAAAACTATGAAGAGTGCTAGAAGTTTAAAAACCAAAAACAAACAAACAAAAAAACACTTCTATGAAGGAATGGAAACGAACCCACACAAAATGGGATACTTATTTGCAAGTTTTGTATTATATGATGTAATACTCATGCAACTAAATAAATATAGAGTGAGACATAGACTTGAAACAAGAGCTGTATTTTAAAAGCCCATAAATTGATTGTAGAATCCTGACACAGGAACAAAATTATTTCAGTTATGAGGGCTTTGTTTGGCCAATAAATCAAGATATTCATGATGTTGTTTGAAGCAAATTAGTGGGCTAGAGGATGCTACATTTCCTGTGGTTTTCTCCACCCACCATTGAGGATATTCAAAAGATACTCAGCAGATGGTGACATTCAGAAAACACCTATCCATTTCCTGCTCCTCAACTGAAACTTCCGTGTTTGTTTGTTTGTTTGTTTGTTTGTTTCAATTAAAGTTTATTGGGGTGACAATTGTAAGCAATGATACATAGATTTCAGGTGTACAGCTCTGTAATACAACATCTATATATCACACTGTGTGTTCACCAGACACTATGTGTTACTATGGCAACTTTTATGGGGGCCTGAACTATGGTTATGGTGGCCTGGGCTGTGGCCATGGCTGTGATTATGGTGCTGTGGTTACAGCTGCTGCCGCCCACTGTGCTGTGGAAAATCCTGGTCCTATGGTTTCTACTGAGAAACATTTAGTCTATAGGCTACATCGTTCTGTTTTGCTGGCACTATCTCCAGGTTTCCTTCACATAAGAAAATTTTAAATGTCTTGAAAAATAATAACTTTACATTAAACTATTTAAAATAAATGAAATTTGGCATGCTCATTTTGATTCATCATTATCAGTTGGACTGTATCGTAGTTTATAGAATACTTTTTTGATATTTTATTTCCTTTATAATGCTACTTAAAATTTAATTAAGCTTTATTATTTTACTTTAAAGATATATATTAAATAAAATAAACTATTTATAAACTATTAAGTAAACTATATTTCATTGCAAATATTGTTTTGTTACATTTACACTGAATTATCTCCATCAGTTTAGAAGTATGTTTGGGAATTTGTGTGACTATTTACATGTGTGTGGTTATTGTGGACGTAGGGCATAGAAAAAAGGTAAGAGATGGTGAGAGACAGCAAGAATGCTCTTTTATGGTAACTATGTGCCTAAAAATGAAAAGCGTAAAAAAAAATCAATTCTTTCCAATAGTGCTCATTAAAAAACCTGTATATATATACTCTCTTCTATTATCTCTGTTTATGCTCTTAATCTAAATTTTTTAAATGGCTAGTTTTTACAATAGTTGTATTTCACATCAGATCATTAAATGTGTATGTATTTGTATGTTTTGTGTTTTTTGCAACACCAATGGGGTCTGGCCTTTATCAAATGTATATGCCTAATACATATTAAATTTATCTACAATCAAATTTATTTTCCACCCTTTAAGTAGTTTTGTTTTATTTGGGAAACTTAAACTAATAATATTAAGTGTAGTAGTAGTAATAGTAGTAGTAATAATAATAATAATAATAATAATAATAAAATGACAACTAGGAATAAAGAAACCAATAATAATAATAATAATAATAATAATAATAATAATAAATTACAACTAGGAATAAAGAAACCAATATTCTGAAGATATGAAAATTGTGGAAGAGTGAGCTGAAATTCTGCAGTTCTTGATTCTAGGATCAGGGCAAGAGATGTCTGGGGAAAAGAGTAATGAACAGAATGTTTGATGCTTTTCATTTGAGGACAGGCAAAACACAATTGGAGACATAGATTCTGATAAACAAACTAACAAAACGCAACAAAAATAGACTCATAGAAACAGAGACAAAAGGAATGTTTGCTAGAGGAGAAGCAGTAGGAAGATGGATGATAAAGGTGAAGGAGAATATAGTCAATAATACTGTGTATGATAAATCTGTGTGGTGAGGTGACATATGTTTATTAGAATTGGGGTAATCACATTGTAAGGTATAAAAATCTCAAATCACTATAGTGTATACCTGAAACTAATATGACTAATATAATATTGTATACCAACTATACTTAAATATTTTTTAAATACAATGTCAGAACACTTAGCATAACACACAGCAAAGTTTCTCCTTAAGATATTTTCCAAATTCTGAAGTCATCACAGTCAATTTCCTGAGACCAACAAAATGCATTTGAAAATCAGAATTTTTTTTTTCTGTAGCAAGGTGATGAGGAAATAATCACAAAAGCTCAGTAATTGCTGAGAACTGCCCTTAATTGAAAGAGTCAAAGAAGTATCACTACATCCTGAGGCAAAACAGAGGTAAACAGGCCATTACTAGAATTCTGGGAGCTTCATTTTTTGTTAGTCTTTGTCTGGATTAAGGAAATCAGAACTTTTCTGACAGCCTAGGACCAAAAAAGAAAAAAAAACAAAAAACCTCTGTGGTGAAATACAATATCATTCTGAATCCTTTGTAATTTTATACAAAATGTTGGTCTTATAGAGTCCTATAAAACAACACACAAAAAGACACTGATAACATAAAGAGACCAGAAAGTGAGTCATTTATTGAATTTAAAAACAAGAAATTTTAAAATAGTTTTGATTAATTTGTACAAGAAGCTTAATGGAAAATTATGTGTTATAACTGGAGAAATTCACCAAAAAATCATTCTAGATTTACATTCTAGAACTAAAAAAGAAAGCAGATGAACAATATAGTTAAAAACTCAATAGACTAGCTACAGGAAATCTGAATTAGTATAGTTAGTGACAGGGTGATAGAAACTGTTCAACTGAAGCAAAGATACACAACTTGAAATATAAACTACTGAAGAGAGTATAAAGGACATGTCAGACTTCATGAAACAGTAAAACATTCATGTAATTTAAGTTCCGCAGGAGAAGAAAGAATAAGGAAGAAGACATTTTTTGAAGAGAGTCCATAATTTTCCCGAACTAATGAAAGGTATCAATCCACATATTCTAAAAGCTCTGCACTGCCAAGGGGAAGAAGTACAATTAAAATGACATCTCGGAATAAATCAAGAGTTCAAAAATAAATGCAAAGCCAAAATCAAAACAGCTGGAGAAAGCAGGCATTTACCTACAAAGAGTAAGAGTTAGTAGACTCCTCAACAGAAACAAAGGAAGCCGAAGAAAAAGATAATGATATTTTAAGAACAGATAGATTACAAATAACTATCAACTAGAATATTATACAATCAAAAGTTTTGTACAAAAAAAATTCAAAGTGCCTGGACAAATAAATAGTGAGAAAATGTATTTTTATCAAGTATTAATTGTAAGAAACAATGGAGTTTTTTTAGGCAGAAGGAAAGAGATCCAGGCAAAAACATGGACATTCACAAAAGAATGAAATGAATAGAAAAATATAAATGCATATTAACTGAGCACAATTAATAATAATTCCTTTTAAGGTTTATGTATATAGACAATATAATGCATGAGAAGTACAGCATAAAAGACTGGAGTGTAAAAATACCTAGCTCTAAGGTCTTAGACTTCTCAGGAAAGAAGTAAAAGTAACAATATTGTAATAGGCTATAAGTTAATGGTGTTTTTTCTTTGAGTGTGGCTACCTAAGTCACTTGGTCTGACCTTACTGTGGACTGAGTGTATTTTCCTGACACTTGACTTTGGGCTTGACCAGATTATTTGCATTAGCCAATGTGATGTTGACAGGCATGCCTTGAACTTAGTCACACGCATATGTGTCTGAGCTTTCCTTGTCGTGTCTTTTCACATGGAGAAAATGCCCCTGGTAGCTGCCACTCCAAGGGAGAATAAGGGATGCATAGAGAAAGCCTGAATCCAACCCACAAAGTGAGCCAAACCCACATTATGTTGGACAAATCCCAGCCAACCCACCAACACATGAATAAGACATAATGTTAATGTTAACAACACCAAGTTGGTGGATTTTTTAATGCAACATTTGTCTAGCAATTATTGTCTTAGATACATGCATAAGTGCACCAAGAGACATGTATAAGATTGTCTGGAGCAGCACTTTTTATAAAATATTGTTAAAAATTCAAAACAATACAAATGACCACCAAGAGTATGGATTAATTGTGATATATTTGTACATAGAACTTTTATACAGCTGTAAGAATTAACACAAAAAACATGTATGAACCTCAGAAGCAAAATGGGAATAAAAAAGCCATATTAAAAAATTCAATTTGTGTGATTCCATTTGTATAAGTTTCAAAAATTGCACTTAGGGGCAGGTACTGCATGGAAAAAGGCATGAGAGGAGACATGGAATATTAGTGTTATGGAACATTTGAATCTAAGAACTGATTAAACAGATATGTTTACTTTGAAAGCTCATTAAGTTCTACCCTTGTGAATTATGCACCTCTGGATGTAGTACAATGCACATGAATAAAGTCTTTTTTTATTAACCATAGAAATATATGTTAAGCTAGTCTCCAGAAAGGATTCTGTAGAAAACATGATCTAGTAGACAATGCATGCTTTCATCTGAGAACAAATTAAGAATTTGGCATCGAGTACTTTCCCTTTTAAGATACCCACTCATCCATTAAATACAATATAAAATGTAAAACTGTATAGTGGAATAATATAAATTATATACCTATATAATATTTTATAGAAATTTTATAAAATAAAAGTTCAGACTATATAATAGAATAATTATACATTTAATATATATATTATATATTATAATTTTGAGAAAATTTAGAGGAGTGCTTGTGTACTTTATGTCATCCCAAGCAATTTGTGTGTTTTGTCATCCCAAGTAATTTATCAACTGACCGAATCTAGAGTGAGGAAAGGCTTTGAAAATAAAGAAATGATTCTTTTTAAGAAAATTAATAGACTGTATTTGATCAGTTTTAGATTTACAGAAAAATTGAGCAGCACAAACAGAGTTTACACACACTCCTTCACCCTCCTACCTCCAGAATCTGCTGTTATTAATTTATTGCATTAGTGTGATACATTTGTTAGAATTGATGAGCCAATATTGATACATTGTTATTAACCAATGACCAAAGTTCACATTGTGTTGCACATTCTATGGATTTGACAAGTATATAATAACATGTATCCATCATTACAGTATCACACAGAATAGTTTCACAGTCCTAAATATCTCCAGTGCTTCACCTATTCATCTCTCTCTCCCTTCACCAAAACCCTGGTGACCACTGATTTTTTTAATGGCTCCATAGTTTTGCCTTTTTCAGAATGCCATATAGCTGGAATCATACAGTATGTAACCTATTCTGGTTATCTTCTTTTACTTAGCAATATACATTTAAGTTGCCTCCATGCCTTCCCATAGCTTCATAGTTCCTTCCACTTTGTTGCTGAATAATACACCATTGTATGGATGGAGCAATTTGTTTATCCATTCACCTATTAAAGGGCATCATTATTGCTTGCACGTGTATAAACAGCCATGTGCAGATTTTGAGTGGACATACGTTTTCAACTCATTTGGGTAAATACCAAGGTACACTATTGTTGGGTAGTATGGTATGAGTATGTTTAGTTTTTTGAGAAACTGTCAAACTGTCTTCCAAAGTGGCTCTATCATTTTTCATTCTCATCAACAATGAATTCCTGTTGTTCCACACTCTTGACAACATTTAGTGTTGCTGGTGTTTTTAGAGTTTAGCTGTTCTGATAGGTGTGTGGTAGTATCTCATTGTTTTAATTTGCCATTCCCTAATGGCATATGATGTTGAACATCTTTTCATATACTTATTGGTCATCTGCATATTTCTTTTGGTGAGGTTTCTGCTCAGGTTTGTTCCCATTTCTTTATTGGGTCATTTGTTTTCTTGTTGAGAAAAATGCCTTTTATTAATACCTCATAACTGGACTAAGAAATGCTAACATTGTAGCAAAATAACCTTGGCTATGAAGACTTCATTTCACCATATGAATCGAGGGATTCTAAAAGGCTTTCAGTAAAAACTAGTGTGAAATATGCAGTGCGCATTGCCTATGGTTTTCCCGTCCCACTATTGAGGGTATACCAAACGTCCTGTGCAGATGGTCACATTCAATCTGAGGCACTGTTTTCCTGTTTCTCAACTGAACCATCACTCCTGACACTATGTGCTTCTACAGCAATTATTACAACGGCCTGTGTTATGGCTGTGGCCAACTAGGCTGTGGTTATGGCTGTGGCTCTGGAGGGTATGGATACAGCTGCTGCCACCCATCTTGTTGTGGAAGATTCTGGTCCTATGGATTCTACTGAGGAACTTCTAGAGATGCTCAGACTATTGAATGCCTCCTCCTGTGATTCACTGACTGTTTCCAGAGCTCTTCACATGGAATTCTACTCTCTAAAGAATACCCAACCCAATCTTAACCCACAGGAATGGTAGGGGGAGTGAGGAGTGGGATTCAAATTTGTCATGTTTTACCTTGGTTCATTAAAATTATTTGAAATATAATTTATAGAATATTTTCTCTTAAATTATACTTCTATTTTACTTCCATGTACAGTTAATTCAACAGTTTTCATGAGCAGAAAGTTTTATTTAATTTTATTTTATTTATTTTTTAGCTGAGCCATCTGCCACCTATTGGCAGCTCAGCGGCAGCTCAGCTCGGGCTGGGAATCGAACCACTGTTGCTCAGAGCTCACACACTTGAACGAGCTCTTAACTAACTGAGCCACTCAGCCGGCCCCAGAAAGTTTTAACTTCATTTTAAAACTAGCATCCTCATGTCAGTATTGCCTCATTTTCATTTACCTTTCTTCATACTCATTAGTTTTGGGTTATTTTTTGACTGAAGACACTGTGTTATTTGTGTTCCCGAAATGATGAAGTGTCAAAATGATATGACTATCATTTCTTCATAGGTAACACTAATGTTGATTCATGTACACTCATGTATACCTATAACCACTGCTGGATCACACTGAAACCTTTTCATCACAAGCTAAAACTGTAGTGCATAATTATCTTAATTACTTAATAATACTTTCTACAATGGTAACCTAATTTCCCGTGATTATATTTTAGTGTCTCTGTTCTTAGCCTTTTCCTGGAACATATACTTGGATTAAACCTTTTATTGGTATGCCTCTGTATGAACTTGTTCTGGGTTTTTCACTGAGGCTGCCTTTCCTACAGGTCTAACATTAAGAACAACTCCACTGGATGAGGTTTCAGCTAAATACATCTTTTTGTCATTCAGTGAGATTATTTTTTCATTTGATTTTCATTACATTCTAAAATTTCACACAAAATAAGAATATAATGAACTAATTTTAGTTCATTTTTCTACAAAGATGGATATTTCTTTAATGGTTTTTTAATAGTTGTCATGTCCCCATGGTATGAATGTGAAAAAAAATTGTATTAGGATACAAAAGAGTAAATCATATAGTTCAGCACCTGGAAAAGTGGTTATCATATGTAAGCACTGTATAGATCAGTCATTTTATGAACATTTGTTACAGGAATCAATGAATGGGACTAACAATCGTTAAATTTTTCATTCTATTTTATACTTATTCATTTAAAAAAATATAATGAATTTAATCTGCATATATATAAATCAATCTCCAGAATCTCAAGTTTTTTATATATGGCATTTTTGTCAATTTATATATTGTCTGCAGTGTGTAATATCTGAGAAAACAGTGGGTTTCTCAGTAGTGAGATCCATCTTACTATAGCAGCCTGCTACTCATTAAATCAACACTCAGATAGTTATGTGCCCAGATATAATAAACAGAAAGCAAATTATTTATATTAATTGTGGTTTTGACAGGGACCAGTGGGGAGCTGGGCTTACACCCCACATTTGGAGATAATGAGGTGGTTCAATCAAGACCTCCATTTTCACCAAAAGGTGTCAGCAGGACAGAGGGCATTAAACTTTCACTCCACTCATCTGCGATGAGGAGGCAGTGTTGTTAGTACTTCACTTTTGCCAGGGCGGTTTCAATAAGCCCAACAGAAAGCTAAACAGACACCCACAAATACCTCGCTACTTTATAAGGGGTTGCTTGCTTTAAAAACAGAGAGAGAGCGAAAATAGGATATAAGTCTTATAATATCCAAAATATTCAGAACACAATAGAATATCACTCATCAATCTAAAAACCAGAAAATCACGATTTGAATGAGAAAAGACAACAGATGCCAACACCAGAATCAATCAGATATTAGAATTATCTGATAAGGATTTTAATAAAATCATCATAAAATTGCTTCAAGAGGCAATTATAAATTCTCTTGAAACAAATTAAAAAGTGGGAAATCTTAGCAAATAAGCCTTATAAAAAGAATCCAATGAAAATTTGCTCTGTATATACTTAGAAATGCAACACATGATCATAGAATTAAGGCTTAGTAAATGGTTTCCCAAAGAGTTTGTGGCAATTTCTAACTCCCACAAATGGTATATGAAAGTTTAACTTCTTCCATATACCAGGTAACACTTTGTAGTTTTAAGATTATTCTTTTAATCTATTCCAGTTGGTAATTAGTTGTTTCATTGTGCATTTGCTTTGTATTTCCCTGACAAATAATGAGGCAATCACCCTTTCATATATTTATTGTCCATTTGGGAATTCTCATTTATGAAGTGCCTGTTCATGTCTTTTGCTGACTTTTAATTGATTGTCTATCTTTATTTATTTATTAGATAGACTTCCTTAAAAAAATTTGAACTATCACATATATGTATTATAGTTATCTTCTCATATTTTGACAAACAAGTTCTTAATTGACTATAGTTCATCCTATCATTTTCTTATTTACTATTAGTTATTTTATGTCCTGTTTAAGAAATTGCTGGCTACTCTATGGTCATGTATATCATCTCCTATATACTCTTCTAGAAATTTTATCAGTTTATCCATTACAGTTATACCTATAATCTATTTTGCAATGATTTTTTATGTGGTGTGATAGAGGTCAACTTCATTTTATCCAACAGAATAACTAATCAGCTCAGTACCACTTATCGAAAATACAATCCTTTCCTCACAGCACTACAGCATCACCTTTATTTTTTTCTAATATGTACAATTAAAATTTTGTATTTTCCTCTAAATACTGCTTTCTTTCTATCCCATAAGTTATAATATAGTGCAGCTTCAGTATCATTTAGTTTTAAACATTTTTCTAACCTTCTTTGGGGTTTTTCTTTTGAGCCACCAAAAGCTAATTGTGAAATAATTGGGGCTTTTTGTTATGAATTTCTAGAATTAATTTCCTGTGATTAGGAAATATACTATAAACTATTTAAATCATGTGAAATGTTTTGAAGCTTTCTTATGTTTCACCATATAATTAATTGTATAAATGCTCCAGGTACACCTGAGAACTATGTTTTCTGATGTTGGGTTTATCTCCTATTTTGTTCCTTCAGTCAAGTTTACTAATTGGTTGTTTTGGTCTTCAGTATCCTTGTTTAAGTTTCTGTTTGCTTGTTCTCTCATTTATTAAGACAAATGCTTTATTTTGTTCCAAAATGATTATGAAGATGCTTTTGCTTAATATTGAAGCTATGTTATTTAGGTCACATTGAATAAAAGTTGCTATGCTTTCTTGATGGATTGATCCCTTTATGGTTATGAAATTTCCTCCTCTTGTTCTAGAAATGCTTATTTCCTTAGTGTCTGATATTAACAGAGCTTCACTAGTTTTCCTTTGCCTAATGTTTGTAAGGTATTAAAATTTTTTAAATATATTTTGACTTTAAAACATCCTGTAACATAATATTAGAGGTGTGTCTGTTTTAAGCAGTATGTAGTTGGGTATTACATTTTTTCCAAGTTTACAATTTTTGTGTTTTCATTAATATATTTAATTTATTTACATTACCCATATTAATTTGGCTTTAATTTACCATCCTATTGTTTTATGTTTATCCTACTGGGTTTATGCTCCATTTTCTGGTGGTTTTTATTTTTGCTTTCTTTGAATGAATCAAATATTTTACATCTTATTTTCCCTCTATTTCATTGATGATTATTTATTCTTTTATTATTCTTGCAGTTATTCACTGGAGAGTAAAACATGTATGTTTATTTATTACACTCTAATATAAATTAGCATTTTTTACTACTCATCATATCATGTTAGAACCTTAAAACACATTAACTACAATTATACTCTCATCTTTTGTAACATCATTTTCAAGTATATTGGTTCTACATACATTTTTATATCCCCCTCATATGATGATGATGATTTGTACACATAATATCCACTTATCTTAATGTCATATTTATTCATTACTTGTTCCTCACTATTTTATTTATTTGTGTGTTTCCAACTGAAATATATTTTTTTCTGCCTAAAGAATTACCTTTAGTATTTTAGTACAAGTCTATTGGTGACAAATTCCCTCAGTTTTTGTTTCTCTGAACATGTAATTATTTCTTCTTTACTTCTAAATATTTTCACTGGAAGTTATTTTATTAACAACTTTAAATATGCCATTCCTTTAAAAAAACAAAACAAAAACTAAAAGGCATTTATTTTGCAGTACAATAAAAATGTAGGCATTGATTTACATTTAATTTTATGCATTTTGTCTTGTTTATTTATTTATTATTTTTATTTTATTGATTTATTTTTAGCTGAGCCATCCTGCCACCAGTTGGCAGCTCAGCGGCAGCTCAGCTTGGGCTGGGCATCGAATCGCTTTCCCTCACAGCTCGCACTCTTGAGCGAGCTCTTCACCAACTGAGCCACTTGTCTTGTTAATAATATTGTATGCATATTGGCATTGCTAAATATATCAACCATGATTGGGAAAACAACACAGAAAGCATTCTGGGTATTTAAGGCAAGAAAACATTAAATTTCTTTAGAATTGGAAGTTCTAAAGAAAAAAAAATCAAGAAATATGTCCCCTACTGCTCAGATTTACTGTTATGCTTTAAAGAGTCAAGAAAGTGCAGGATTATTATGCTAAGCGAAATAAGTCACACACAAAAAGTCAAGAACCATATGATTTCACTGATATGTAGGATATAAAACTGAAAGCAACAAAGCAACAAGAAGAACAAATAAATAAACAAAAACTTATACAGGCAATAATTTAGTGGTTACATGAGGTAAGGGGGAGGTGGGATGGTAGAAAAGGGTAAAGGGGGTCAAATATATGGTGATGGAAGAACTGGCTCTGGGTGGTGAACACACCAAGTGATATATAGATGATATATTACAGAATTGTACATGTGGAACCTATGTAATTTTGCTCACCATTGTCACCCCAATAAAT